GGGAACAGATGTTAGGTCTGGGAACAATTGGCATACCTCAATCCGAGGGGCGGATAAACGGTTGTCTTTCAAATTCCCTCGGCACACAATAGGACAGCGCTACAACCAACCAGAGCAACGAACGGCTGTGGCGGAGTGAGTCCTGTGCGTTTTCCCACCAGTGGAGCTAACGCTAGTTGATATATTAAACTTTTGCCATATCCGCTCGTCAAAACTCCGAACACATCTTCCTTTTTTAAGAATGACTTAATTGACGTTCTCTTAACTCCAAGTCCTCCAGAGTCGCGGCCAAAGCCGCTTCGAAAGACCGCTGTTCGCCAGCAGCATCTTCTTTGTTTTCAAGTAGCAGGGAAATCAGAAATCACCTATGGGAATCACCTATGGAAATCGCCTATGGGAATCACCTATGGGAATCACCTATGGGAATCACCTATGGAAATAATAATAATAATAATAATAACTTCAATTTATATAGCGCCTTTCAAAGTACCCAAGGACGCTTAACAATCAACATGAGAAAGGGAAGGGTAGAATTAAGATAAGGGCAAAGGCCAGGGGAGCTAGAGTCCATAGGCCTCATTGAAAAGGTGTGTTTTGAGCTGGCATTTAAAGGTTAAAAGTGAGGAGGCAGAGCGGATCTCATGGGGAAGCTTGTTCCAAAGTGAAGGAGCACCAACACAGAAAGCTCTATCACCAAATGTCTTAAGCCTGGACTTAGGAACAGCAAGCAGGTCCTTGTCAGAGGAACGCAGGGACCGTGACTGAGTGTAGGGATGGAGAAGATCAGTAATGTACTGGGGTGCAAGTCCATGAAGGGACTTGTACGTCAGGAGGAGGATTTTATATTTGATGCGGGACTTAACTGGCAGCCAATGAAGCTTCATCAGGATGGGAGCAATGTGAAGACCAAGTTTTGTGTGTGTGAGCATCCTAGCCGCAGAGTTCTGCACATACTGTAGTCTGTCAGTGGCTTTGCTGGGTAGACCGAACAGGATGCCATTGCAATAGTCAAGTCGGGAGGTGATGAATGAGTGGATGAGGGCCTCAGCTACAGAGTTGGAGAGGCACTGTCGGAGTCTGGAGATGTTCTTGAGATGATAGAAAGCAATTTTAGTGACGTTTTTGATGTGTTGTTGGAAGGAGAGAGTGGAGTCCATGATGACGCCCAGGTTGCGTACTTGAGGAGATGCAGAGATTGAGCAGCCATCCACATCCAGTATGATGTCATCAACTTTTTTAAGAAGTGACAGCGGGGCAAACACCATGAGTTCTGTTTTGTCTTTGTTCAGTTTGAGAAGGTTACTGTCCAACCAGTGCTTTATGTCCTTCAGGCAGTTGATAAGTGGCACTGGTGGAAGAGAAGTAGAAGGCTTGGTACTGATGTAGGGAATCACCTATGGGAATCGCCTATGGGAATCACCTATGGGAATCACCTATGGGAATCACCTATGGGAATCACCTATGGAAATCACCTATGGGAATCACCTATGGGAATCACCTATGGAAATCACATATGGAAATCACCTATGGAAATCACCTATGGAAATCGCCTATGGAAATCGCCTATGGAAATCGCCTATGGAAATCACCTATGGAAATCGCCTATGGAAATCACCTATGGAAATCACCAATGGAAATCACCAATGGAAATCACCTATGGAAATCACCTATGGAAATCACCTATGGGAATCACCTATGGGAATCACCTATGGGAATCACCTATGGGAATCACCTATGGGAATCACCTATGGAAATCGCCTATGGGAATCACCTATGGGAATCGCCTATGGGAATCACCTATGGGAATCACCTATGGGAATCGCCTATGGGAATCACCTATGGAAATCACGCAGAACAGTCACAACTCTGCCGTCATTGTTAAGCCCGCCCACCAACTCTATACACAATGTGATTGGCCTGACCAGAGTTTGGTTTTTCTACTTCGAAAGTCAACGGAGAGTTGCTAGACCACACTGGCAGCAAAATAACTTTTGCTGCCGCTAGGGTGCGTCTAGATTTCTAGGCTAGGTGATCTTGAGATTCTGTTGAAACCCATACAGTAAGCAGGAGTCCTGCACAGACAGAAGCAGACTCATCCTCTGGATCACACACACACACACACACACACACTGATCAGCAACACATTCACTGCCCTGCTCAACCACTAGGTGTTCTTTACTTTTAACCGCATTATCATCGACATCAGTATTTGAACTGGTTGCCACTAGCACTGGTCTCTCTGAAGTGTTCTCCATGTTAACCTCTGACAGGGCCTGGACTCCCCGGACCCGTCTGTGCAGAAGTAGCCTGAGCTTCAGCCTCTGTCCCTGGGCCGAGGGGTTCCTGTCCACGCTCTTCATGCGGACACATCTGCGTTTAGGCATTCAATAACACAGCAACACAAACTCCCGGTAGTTGCATAAATCATGCATTCTATATGTATATACTGTAGGTGTGTTTGAGGTGTTTCATTTTTTTCCTAATAATTAATATATCATAGAGTTGTTTGTGGTGGGGTAAATTAAATGCAATGTGCGTTGACGTCACAATTGTGTTGCATTGTGGGATATGGAGCTGGAGTGTAGTAGACTCGCTCCCTCGGTCCAAATCGAGGGTCTGTCCTTGGCTGCGTTCCAGTCCACTTTTAAACACGCACTTGCAAACTTCCCTAAGCACTTCCCTCGGGGGAATCCCTGCCGCCATTTTGAAGTGCGTTCCACTTCGTGACGCGGACGAGGGGGGTTTACATGGACAGACCCTCGACTCTGACCGAGGGAGCGAGTCTACTTCATGTGTAGGGGAGAGCGGGGCACAACACATGTTGGTTTTGGCTCAATTATCAAAAAAAAATTAAGTTAGATTAATCTTCTTTTTTCTTACACAAGCAACATACACATCTCTGCTACAAGTGAACACTTGAAGTTTTGTTCTAGGTCCTACCATTTCCATACAGTTGCACTGAAAGTGACAGAAGTGCAAATGTTACAACTTACATTAGTTAGTATTATAATACACATAATTGAATTATAACACATAATTCAGTACTATTTTATCTGTATAATTTTGATATTGTTTGTGCATCTGTATAGATAGATATCCATACATCCATCCCTCATCCAATCATGCTTCTATTATGGATCAATATCATGGATAGAGAGATAGGAAAGGCTGCACAGTTTTGCAATAAATAAAATCATCAAATATTGTAATTGCAATTGAATTATATTTGTGCAAATGTATTATTATAAATAATAATAACAGTTATAATAACAAAAATCACATTTTAAAGGGTTTATTGCATGAAAAACAGGCTATATTTTTAAGAAATAAAGAAGTGATCAATGCATAGTAAACAAATGTGGAAGAAATCATACTTTGACCTTTAAATTCCAACATTGTTTGTGAAAGTCCAACAAAGTTAAATGTGGCAAAATAAATATATAAATAAATACTGAAAAACCTGAAACGTTGTGTGGCTCTGTTTACAGTTCATTATCGCTGTACACTTGGTGGCTTAGTAACACTGTGCTACAACTAACCCCGCGGTGGCTAGCTACAGCGCCTAGCTAACGGTTGCTAGGAGTTGCTGACAAAAAAACTAAGCAGAGAAAATAAGCAGAAACACAGCCTGCTTGACCCTGACTAACTAAGGAAAAGGTCCGTGTTGAACTTACTGTGACCCGGGTTAGGTTGTGCCCGCGCTCCACTTCTGGCAGCTCCATATACCACAATGCAACACAAGTGTGACGTCAACGCATATTGCGTTTAATTTACCCCACCACAAACAACTCCATGATATATTAATTATAAAATAAAAAAAAATGTTTTAAACAACTCAAAAACACCTATAGAATGCTGCATTAAACAATTTCGTAAAGGAAAAAATAAATAAAAAAATCAACCCCATAGTGGATTGTAAGTGATCAAGGGCTTAGCACGTTCCCATTCAGCCTATTGCAAAGGTTCAGCCAGCAGTGGCACTCATGCAACGCGAGCAATGGCGCACATCTGAGTGAACGAGGCGGAGGGAAGATGGCGAGTGAAGGGCAGGTTTGGACTGGAACACTTCCCTCGTCCACTTCACGAGTGGAACGCACTTCAAAATGGCGGCAGGGATTCCCCCGCCCGAGGAGAAGTTGTAGAGGGAGAGGGAGGGGAAATCTGGGTGAATCTTGTTTTGATTAATTGGTGCTTTTTTCCACACACATGAAAAATGACATTACAGATAATGTTTAAAACTAGCCTTAAAATGTTAACGCCCTCTAAAACAGCTAAACTTGATTGAAACATTTTTCAAAAAGCCCTAAAACTATTGAGTAGGGCTGGACAAATTTGAAGCTTTTCTCTGAAAGTGTTGAAAACAGCGCCATCGTGTGGCAGAGATCATTTACAGCAGCCATTAACCCGAGTGTGCAGCTCAGCTGTTGTACATTAACCACACAAAAGCCTGACTACGCTCATGTGTTCAGTGTTCTGATTATATAACTCACATATTAAAATTAGGCAATGAATTAAATGTAACAACAACAACAACAACAACAATTAGGCTATAATGATACTAATTATAATAATGGTAACAGAGTTGTTTAAGTCAAGTAAATGGTGCTCTAATTATTTCATGGCTTTTATACAGTTTATGGACAAATATATGTTAATATAATATAGACTATATATATATATATATATTAGTAAATGGACGTAGAGTATAGTGTTCCGAGTTCAAACATTCTGACATCGAGGGGAAGATGTCCCGTATCCTGAGACCAAACCCTGTCCAGTCTCATGAGGGGAAGTATACATAGGAGAGAATCTGTAACTAGAATGCGGATTATCTTGGCCGTGTAATGAAAACAACCATAGATTACACACACACACACACACACACACACACACACACACACACACACACACACACACACACACACACACATCCTGCACACCCCAAAGCGCAGGAGTTCTGGCTCTGATCCAAAAGGAGTGACTATGGAGTAAAACAGGCATCTCCCACAGACCAGATCAGAAACATCAGGATGGAGACGCTCAGCTGGATTCTCTTCATGTGGGGTGAGAGATTTATAAGATATAGATCATCTGTAAAGTTAATAATGCTCCAGTTTTGTTGTAGGGTTTGTTTCAGTCAACTTTACGTAAAGCAATATGTGTTTATTTAGATGGGTTAGATGGGTTTCCTGCTTCACACAGGCACAGTTTTATAGACCTCCAGCTCACACACATCTGAAGAGCTCTGTATATGTCTATGGCATCGCTGTCGACGAGTAATTAGCGGCTGAAGTGGATTTACTTACTGTAGAGTTAGCAAAAGTTATCATTGTAATGTTTGATGCAGATATCATAATGGAGAATTGCGTCCAACGGTTCTCTGCCGCCCACACTGTAAAAAGTGAAACATTGGATTAACTTAATAAAATTGAAGAAACCATTCACAAAAAAGTTTACGTAAGCAATAAGGTTTGAGAGGCTGTGCTGTGAATAAGCCACGGCTGAAGGGCGTTGTTAGGCTCGACGCGACGCGGAGTAACCCCTTCAGCCGTGGCTTATTCACCATACAGCACTTGCCTCGTACCTTATTGCTTTTATAAAACGGTTACCACACAATAAAAATATTAAAGTAAAAAAAAATATGTATTAGTGCATCTTTCATGAAGTAAAACAGTTCAAACTAATTTTCTGCATTTCATGTAAACTCTTTTCTGAATTTGGTGTAAATCAATATTTTTAATTGGCTTAAATAAATAAAAAGTTTTTTTAACAGACTTGATCTAAATTGAGTTTTCTTCAATTTGAAATATGTATTCATTGCAAATAATATAAAAGGCTTCACAATTGGCATAATCTAAAAAAAAATTCTCTCAATATATATTTATATATATATTTAATGAGTCGGATCAAAGGTTCTTTTAAATATTTATTAAATCTTGACTTTTTTTTGGCAAAACAAACATTGTTTTACAAATACAAATGTAATTCTGAGACAGTTCAAGTAATCAGTTCATTTCAAGTTGAATTTCATATGTATCAGTATTAAAATGTGAATATATCATATAATATAAGAACAATAAATATAAGAATAAGAAATAAGAACAAATACCTAAAAACAATTGGTCTGCTTTTCTCAGTAATTAACATTTTTGGCAGAAAAAATCAATGTAAATCAAATACAAAACATAGATATTGCCACATCCAGTAAACAAACAACTACTGAACTACTATTACGATGGAGTGAAGGCATTTCTGCCATCCTGTGTGTGTGTGTGTGTGTGTGTGTGTGTGTTTGTGTGTGTGTGTGTTCATCAAAGCACTGAAATGGAGGCTGTCCGTCAGTCATTGGCTAGCAGCAGAGTGCATTTTTCTTGTGTCAAGTTCCTTTAACACTTTCTGAAAAAAATCAAGTGAATTTCAGTTCTTTTGTATACTTGAGGTTTAGTCCGTCCAAATAACATCGCTACAGCAGCTGCGGTTGAGGACTCGTTACTGAGGACCTCTGTGCTCTCAGTGAGAACCCTGGGGTCTGTCTCACTGATTAAGACGGCCATGGGTTGCTCCAGTCCATCAGCTGGCGACACAATACATAGTTATGAATAAAGAGTGCTGACCAGACAGTTGATGGAGTATCTCAGAAAATTAAAATATCACATATAACCAATAAAAAACAAGGATTTGTAATACAGAAATGTATGTATCGGTAAATGTATGTATCTGATCCGCACATTGAATTTTGCTACATTCATTGCGGGACATTTCATGAAAGTGCAATCGCAAGTGTCTTGACTGTGAGTGTAAATGCAATTAAGAAAAATAACATTTGAATGATCATTTTGCCACAGTTTTTGCTTGAACATACTACACATATCTAATCATTTCTGTAATGCATTTTCATTTTCATTTTGCAACTTATAAAGCGTTTCAATAATGCATATTAAAACTTGTGTATGAAATGGCAAATGTAAATTATGTCATTTCTTTTTCATTTTGCACAAACGTTGCTAGAATGGTAATGTAAAATGTACATTTAAATACAGAATGCAATGCCATTTTACATATTGCATTGTCATTTTGCATATTACATTTAAAATTGAAAATTGCTACGCATATGCTTCCATATGTATGCCTTAAGAAAAGTATGTTCATGTTCATCTCGTCAGTGATTGATTGGAACACTATTTTGGTTTTAAATGGTTGGTAGCACTGTTGAGATCTCAGAGCCTAGGCTGCCTACAGACGCGGGGTTTGTTGACGGCCTGCTAATGGGGCGTGCAGCTAGCGGATCGTGAGGATGAATATGATCATTTATGTTTGGGCCTGCAATCGCTGATACAACCTTTAAAACAACCTGGGCATTCAGCTGTGCCACATGCAGATTGCCTCCATATAACACCACACTGATGCAGCAATTCATGCTAAAGGAGGCCAAAATACTCAACCAGGTATTTAGTGCATATTCGTGAACATAAGCTGCAGTCAACAGAAGTAGCACAAATAATTGCGTGAAATATTTCACTTTGTGTGATGAATATATATAAAATTCAAGAGGTACACTTTTTTGTAACTTATTTTACCGAAATGACTGAACTTAGACTACATTCTGATTTTTTTAGCCCTACCAGTATGTACAGTATGTAAGTATGTGCGTGGATGGCTGAGCAATGTACGTACCTGAATTTCCTTGATGAGATGGTGAACAGATTCACCAAAGTAGATGATTAAACATTTAAGAACTGATTCCCTCCTTGTGTTGATGTCCACGACCTGAACAAAATGCATTCATTAAAATTACATGCTCCTTTTTTACCAAATACAGGAGAAATCCGGTTTGAAACAAACAAAAAGTATATTTGAAACATGATAAAAAATTTGACCATTCATCATGGAGCATTTTTTTATAACGTCATGCCTGCCTTTAAAGACCACATTTAGCCTATATGTGCAAAAGGCTCACAATGTTAGTGTTAGGCAGTGGCGGTTCTAGAGGGGGGGCCAGGGGGGCCCGTGCCCCTGTGACAAAAAGCTTGGCCCCCCTTGTGGCCCCCCTAAATGTGGAGTTTGAAATAATTTTTACAAAACTGTTTTTTGCTATCGTTGTATGCGTATTATTTTTTATTTTTCTATCTTTGTGGATTTGCATTTTCACGTGACAATTCGCATCACATTCGCGGGAATCGCGGCAGAATAACGCCTGTCTCCTGCACGCGAGAGAGGAGAGAAGAAGAAAGTTGGTAAATGTCAGTTCAGTTGTAAGTTCATTCTTTATGTGCGTATCGGGTGTCCGATGTGTATTGTCTATTATGATATTGTAATCATTGTTTTAACTATGTACGAGGCACTGTGAGGTGACATCGCATTTGTCTATCGTCCTTTCACTGCTGTGTGCAGTTCATATAGGCTATGTCCCCAAATTCGTTTTTGTCTTATATTTATATCATATTATGTTCTTATATTAGAATATCACATCAGCAAGAGTGCCGTTTTCCCGTGCACAATTGCAACTGTGACATTTATAATACAACAGTTAAATTAACAATAAGTTAACATTGGGAGTTACTTTTTAGACACAATATTGTCAATAATGTTTGTTTTCCCTTTATTTCGCCGACTAGAATTTCATAATGAAACCGTAGCAGAGTCTCAATGCAACACAGCGATGATTTCTTGACTGAAATCCGCGTTTTGAACGAATCACTTGCTTCTTTCCCGAATAAATCAGCCGTTTGAACAAATCGGTTGAATGAATGAATCCCTCTTACAGGGACTTGCCGCCGCCTACTGGCGGTTTTAGTTTCATATTTAAAGTATCCTTTAATTAAAACGTTAAAATTAGAAATAATTTCATATTTAAATATTGATTTAAATTAAAAAAAATTATTTATGCAATTGTAAATGGAGTGTAAATATATTAATGCCACTTCTGTGTCACCTCTGCACTGCAAAGATGGATTTTGATTGAATTAATTAATTTGACTGGTAACAGTGGTACTGTATAATTATTGCATAATTAAGTATTATTGTATAAATAAGTATAATTAATGTATAATTTGTTAGTATTTGACATAAAAGGTGATGCATAACTCTAAATAAGTTTAGAAAAAATGTCCATATATAGGTGAAAATGCCCCTGGAAATCAATTTAAGGTGGCAAATATTGCCCCTTAATTAAAAAATGTATTTCTGTCACTGCTGTGAACTGACCACTGCATAGAATATGAAAAATATGAATATCTTCATGAGTCAGCTGTCAACAACAGGCCTAAACCAGCCATGGCACCAGCACAAAAACACAATCAGTAAAATATTATCTAATTATTAACAAAATGTTGAAAATATTGAAATATATTTTTGTCAATATTGCACACCCCTAATGTACGGTATTAATTTTGATTTCTTTAGGTCTTAAAAAGCCTTAAATTTGACTTTAAAAAGTGTGCAGGAACCCTGTAAACGGTTAGACATATCAAGTCAGTTATTTTCAGTAAATTAATTAATAAGCTTCTTGGTCCCCATTGCTTTTGCTCTATAGTTCTCAAAATTAAGAGAAAGAAGGACATCATGTCTATTACAGTTACTGTGACTAATACTGAATATGTAATGCAAATGTAAAAAATATAATGGAAATACAAATACATTGTTGAATGATTATAAACACGGTATTTTGCCTGTTAATGCCTGCAGGAGTGCAGAAAATGATATGACAACAATAAGGTCTAAATGTAACTGGCCCCTCTAACAGTACAACTGGCCCCAGCTTGGCCCCCCCAGTTGAAATGGGCTAGAACCGCCACTGGTGTTAGGGCCATCATGCTCGGTGCTATAAATCACTATTTTTAAACCATAAACAAGGATCAAAGTAGCCCACACTTCGTTGGTAGTATAATTAAGGTTCTAACATTTGAAACAAGGCATTGAGAACTTTGTAAGTGTACATATAATTGATTAAAAAGACTGTTTTTATTGAAACACAGTACCTTGACTTCTCCAGTAATCATTTGCTCCAGCTCTGAATCAGTGCAATCAGTATTGAATGTAATGCACGATTCACCTATTGACCCCAA